GGTAGCTATTTTGTAGAATGGATATACAAAGAGGTTTTTCAGAGAAACATCAGATTTCCCCTTGCAGTGAGGAACCTACTGGCAATTAGGAAGGATGGACTGGGATCCTCTTGAGGTGACTCGGGACTGGCAAACATGTTCCAGTCTTCCTGAAACCATTGTTTCCTTCCATTCAGTGGGAAAGTGAAAGTGAAAGTCGCTCAGTCATATCCGACTCTTTGTGACTCCACAGACTATACAGTCCATGGAATTCTCCAGGCCGGAATACTGGAGTGGGTAGCCATTCCCTTCTCCAGGGGATCTTCCCAACCCAGGGATCGAACCCAGGTCTCCCACATTGCAGGCAGATTCTTTACCAGCTGAGCCACAAGGGAANGAGTGGGTAGCCATTCCCTTCTCCAGGGGATCTTCCCAACCCAGGGATCGAACCCAGGTCTCCCACATTGCAGGCAGATTCTTTACCAGCTGAGCCACAAGGGAAGTTCAGTGGGAAAAGGACAAAGCTAAAAATGAGAACAGAAGGCAAAGAGAGAAGTCTCTATTTCTTACAAAATAACCGAAATTTAGCAAAGCATCTCAAAAAGTCATAAATTTTTAAGTTGTTGCCTTTAAGCAAAAAAAAAAAAAAATGTAATAGCCTTTACTAATTGAAATAAAAAATAACGTATTTGTCATTTTTTTCTTACCATTTTTATATAACCAACAGAGTATAGGTATATACTTATAATGCTGGAAACTAATTAACATATCACTTTAGGGAAGGAATAAAATAGTTATCCCGGTTCACATCTCTTATCTTGATTCATAGCTCAGATATTTCTATTCCTGGAGCATTACTGCAGCTTTGGTGCTAAGAAAATTGCTGGTGGGTGAGGAATGATTCTGCACTCTCATCCTTCACAGTTTTCACACCATTGCCATTAGTCTAACTTTGCTTTCGCGCCACCTACTGTTCAAAGGTCCTCACTACTACGGCTCAACTTCATTAGAAGCAAAATAACACCGGAAACAACAGGTCAGCTGGGCTTCCCAGGGGGCTCAGTAGCAAAGAATCCACCTGCCAGTGAAGCAGATAAAGAAAAACGGATTCAGTCCCTGGGTTGGGAAGATCCCCTGGAGAAGGAAGTGGCTACCCACTCCAGTATCCTTGCCTAGAAAATCCCATGGACAGAGGAACCTGGCAGGCTGCAGTCCATGAGAGCGCAAAAGTCGGACACAATTTGGTAACTAAACAACAACAGGCAAGCTACCTTAAAAACAGTGTGCTTGGAGACAGGCAATGTAATGAATAATTCATCATGGAAGCACAAACAGATTTCTTCAATATATATTTCTTTTTTATCATTGTTGTCTCATTTATTTATTGCATTTAATTCATATTTTTATATATTCTATTTATATGGGCCTACAAGTTATACTTGATATACTCCATATATTGAAATTATGCATGTGTGCTCAGTGGCGCAGATGTGTCCACCTCTTTGCGACCTCATAGACTGTAGCCCACCAGGCTCCTCTGTTCATGGAATTACCAGGCAAGTATATTGGAGTGGGTTGCCATTTCCTTCTCCAGGGAATCTTCTGTACCCAGGGATCAAACCCAAGTCTCTTATGTCTCCTTCACAGGCAGATGGATTCTTTACCACTGAGCTACCGGGGAAGCCCCATTGAGGTTATACTCATTTTATATTATTTTGGTATTCTTTGCTGTGCCTTTCTATAACATTAACAGAAGGGCCATTAACTTTGAAGGCAACGCAACCCAACAACCCAGTCACGGATTGGATTGGATTAGAGTGGACTAGACATGAGTGGAATCAAAAGATGGAAACCCTTTTGCAATAATATTTGTCACTGCATAACCTGCCCCAGGTTGTGATTCTGTGACTCTGCTAATGACTGTGCTTTCAAGTTTCTGCTGCTTTCATATCTAGAGAAACACAGAGGGGCTTTGGACTGTATGACATAGACTAATTTATCAGAAAAGGAAAAAAAAAAACACTAGTGTCTTTTATTTTGCTTTACCATTTAAGACTATTTTATGTTTATCTTTTCAAAAAATATTTTGGAAAGTATTTTTAGGAATAAGTGAACTTGAACACAGTTTTCAAGATGTCCCAGAAACATGATTTTTATTTTCTTTACTAGCCTTTAAGGTGTTTTCTATATTGTCTATCAGAAATTTAATAGAAAAAAATTCATCTCTGTAATTATGAAAAGAATAAAATTGGTTGAAGACCGGTCCTATGAGAACACCCCCATCATTTTAGCATCTGTAAAATGGTTGACAGTATATCCTACCAGCTCCAGCTGGCTCCGATGTTAAAATGGAAAACCTCAGCCCTTCCCTGTCTAATTCTGAGGGAGATGAAGTCCCATGGTCTTTGAAGATGCTTCCTTCTGCTCAGACTTCATCCTCTGACCTCTGTTCTCCCTTAGCTTATTGGCAGTTTCCCACTTTGGGCTCTGTTTACCTGCCTTGCTTTAATCGGAATGGCTTCTTTTATTCTTCATTCTCAGTTCATTCTTACACTCCTTCACATCTTAGCCTAAGCATCACTTCCTCAGAAGAGCCCTTCAACTCCTGAATTAGTCTTTTTTTTGCTATTAGATGGCACCCTGTACTTTTCCTTATTATCATTCATACACTTTGCAATTAGATACTTGTGTTATTGACTTTATTTTTCTGGGCTCCAAAATCACTGCAGATGGTGATTGCAGCTGTGAAATTAAGACGCTTACTCCTTGGAAGGAAAGTTATGACCAACCTAGACAGAATATTAAAAAGCAGAGACATCACTTTGTCAACAAAGGTCTGTCTAGTCAAGGCTATGGTTTTTCCAGTGGTCATGTATGGATGTGAGAGTTGGACTATCAAGAAAGCTGAGTGCCGAAGAATTGATGATTTTCAACTGTGGTGTTGGAGAAGACTCTTGCAAGTCTCTTGGACTGCAAGGAGATCCAACCAGTACAACCTAAAGGAAATCAGTCCTGAATATTCATTGGAAGGATTGATGCTGAAGCTGAAACTTCAATACTTTGGCCACCTGATGTGAAGAGCTGACTCATTTGAAAAGACCCTGACGTTGGGAAAGATTTAGGGCAGGAGGAGAAGGGAATGACAGAGAATGAGATGGTTGGATGGCATCACCAGCTCAATGGACATAGGTTTGGGTGGACTCTGGGAGTCGGTGATGGATAGGGAGGTCTGGCGTGCTGCGGTTCATGGGGTCGCAAAGAGTCGGACACGACTGAGCGACTGAACTGACTGACTGACTTGTGTTATTGGGGCTTTCCAGGTGACACTAGCAGGAAAGAACCTACCTGCCAGTGCAGGAGACATAAGAGACACGGGTTTGATCCCTGGGTAGGGACGATCCCCTGGAGGAGGACATGGCAACCCACTCCAGTATTCTTGCTGGAGAATCCCATGGACAGAGGAGGCTGGCGGGCTATGATCCTTTGGGTTGTGAAGAGTCGGACACAACTGAAGGGACTTAGCCTGCATGCACTTGTGTTATCTACTTTCTGCCTCCTGCCCCCACCAGATTATAAATTAGTGATCAGGCTAGAATATTCCTTAGGGTCCTAGCCATTGTGTTTTCTGTCATTTCCATTACAGAATAGATGCGGGGGAAATAGTTGAGGAAATCAAACTGAGAGTCCAAAATTGAGAACTGAGATGCCCATTGTTTCAGTCCATGTAGAACTGTGACGTCAACTCTGCTTCTATGTCACCCTTGGGGCAAGAGAATAGTCACTGAGGCAGGAAGTCCCAGTGCCTAGATCCCAGCTTCTGAAAGACCTCTCAGCGACTCATCACTTCCCGAAGCAGAGTCAGGGAGTGGAGCGTTTTTTCCCACAACCTACAGAATCCCTGGTCTTGCTCACCACTCTTCCCACTTCCTGGGAATCAACTGACCTTTCACCCACTCCCTGACCACCACCTCTCCTTCCCATGCTCCTCTTCCCCACCAGCCCCCAAGAAACCAAGCAAAAGGAAACCAAAAAATCCCCAAAACAAACAACTGCCTCTTCCTTTCTCTACTGTCAGCCATCTTCGTAGATTAACAGGGGATACAGAGAGCAAATTATAAATTAATATTTCAGCAGATTATCCTGTTACTCTGGTATTCAGCAGAAAATAAAAATAAATTTTGCACATTACACAAAGGACACGTTGAGTTTTCAGTGCTTATTTTTGTAGCACTTCCCTTTGCTTTCTACAAGGCTCTAAGGATTCCCAGCTATCTTAGGTTATTAGACAAGCAATCATGCTGAGAAAAACCATCTTTAAAATGAGTTCTTCTTAAAAAAAACTTTCATGTGTCTTTAACCAATCACCAGTGTCTTCTAGAGAATAAGAAATGAATTTAAGATCCAGAAGTAATTAATTTCATATTAATTAATATACACATAGGGCTTTCCCAGTGGCTCAGTGGTAAAGAATCTGCCTGCAATACAGGAGATGTGGGAGACAGAGATTCAATCTCTGGGTCAGGAAGATCCCCTGGAATAGGAAATGGCAACCCATGCCAGTATTCTTGCCTGGAAAATTCCATGGACAGAGGAGCCTGGTGGGCTTCAGGGGTCACAAAGAGTTGGAGACAACTGAGCAACTGATCACACACATATGTAGATTGGGCATTTGGGGTATTCTGCATTGTCTTTTATTTAAAATCTGGTACATATAGTCTTGTTGTTTTATGAAAGTAATATTCTTGCCTAACATCAGATACACACGAAAGATGAGTGTTTGCGCTTTTGAATATTTTCAAACCACACTGAGGATTCCAAGTCCCTCTAGGTCCCTCTCTCCCACTTGTGGTAGCATCTAATAAGCATTACCTAAGTATGTGCCTCTTGAAAGCTGGATTGACTAATTCAATTGCCAACAGAATACCGAAGTCTGACTTTTAGATGTATATTTGATGAAAAATTAACCAAATAAAAGTATAAAGTTCACTCCATAGAAAATCTTCACACTTCTATCTCCACAGCAACACGGATGTACACACAGTGGCATCACTTCTTAAACTGTATCTCCGAGAGCTCCCAGAACCTGTTATTCCTTATGCCAAGTATGAAGACTTTTTGTCTTGTGCCAAACTGCTCAGCAAAGAAGAGGAAGCTGTAAGTCAATGCAGTTATTTCTTAAAATGCTATTATTTAGGGGTTTTGTCAGTGTTCCTAGTCTAACCTGTAAATTTTCCTTTGCCCTGTTTTTGGATTGTTTTCCACTATGCTAAGTATTGACATTATACACAGATTTTTACACAGTCAGATTTTTACATTTGGACTTCCCTTGTGACCCAGCTGGTAAAGAATCTACTTGCAATGCAGGAGACCTGGGTTCGATCTCTGGGTTGGGAAGATACCCTGGAGAAGGCAAAGGCCACCTACTCCAGTATTCTGGCCTGGACAATTCCATGGACAGTATAGTCCATAGGGTCGCAAAGAGTTGGACACAACTGAGCAACCTTCACTTTCACTAACACAGGTCCCATTTGTAATCCTCTCTCTCATCAAAAAGGAAAGTAGAGCTGAATAAAGGAAATCAGCACTCCTTGCCACACTGCCCTCTAAATGCTAAAAATCGGAAGGACTCTCACTATATTAAGGCTATTATTTCCCCCCAAATAACCTAACTATAAATAAGGCTATTTTTCCTTTTCAATCAGTTGTGAACAAATGTTAAAAATGTTAAATCTGTTTCTCCACAAATAGTACTCACAGAGATATTTGAAATGCTTTCACATCTTTTGAAAATATTTCTGAAATGCTCTCTGTGATAGTGGCAAGTTTTCAAGACAGGATCCATCACTGGTAACAGGTGAAACTAACAAGAACAAAACAAAACAAAAAACTGCATGTCCATGTCCCATTTGCTTTCATTCCAAGGTCAACATTTAGATAACATGTATTCTCTTCTTTATACTCAGGGTGTTAAAGAATTAGCAAAGCAGGTGAAGAGTTTGCCAGTGGTCAATTACAACCTTCTCAAGTATATTTGCAGGTAAGAATTGTCCTAAAGACAAAATGGAATTTAAAAAGACTGTATTTACACTGACAATAGTTCATTTTGACAATGAATAAAAATCAGTTGGGTTTCCCCGGTGGCTCACTGGTAAAGAATCCGCCTGCCAATGCAGGAGATGCAGGAGACGCAGGTTCGATCCCTGGGTCAGGAAGATCCCCTGGAGGAGGAAATGGCAACCCACTTCAGTATTCTTTTCTGGATAAGCCCATGAACAGAGGAGCCTGACAAGCTGCAGTTCATGGGGTCACAAAGAGTTGGACATGACTTAGTGACTAAAATAACAAAACAACTAAAATAACAAAAATCACTTAACTGCTCTGAGCTCCCCTGTTGGCCTCTGTAAAATTAAGAGGTTTGACAAGGTGATTTCAAAGGTTTCTCTGAGCACTTAAGTTGCTTGATTTTGTAATCTGTTGTTTCTGAAGTCTCTCTGACCTCTACATATTAAAGATATGTTGCTTTGAACTTCCATCAAAGTTGCTTGTATGTGTACCACATACGTTGTTTAACAGAAGGAGCCTGCATGAGAATCATTTGTCTAGGAGTCCAGATTCTACCTCTGACTACTTACGTGTTTTTATGCAATTTTCTTCTCCTCTTTGAGACTAAGAGTCCTAATAGATAAAAGGGTAATGAAAACATACATTTGAAATAATTGTTTTAAAAATTAAAGTATATTACACTATTGATACTATGTATAGATAAGTAATGAGAACCTCCTCTGTAACACAGGGAACTGTACTCAATCCTCTGTGGTGACCTAAATGGGCAGGAAATCCAAAACAGAGGGGATATATGTCTATGTATAGCTGATTCACTATGTTATAGACCAGAAACTAATACAACATTGTAAAGCAACTATACTCCAATAAATACATTTTAAAAAATTGTATATGCATATACATTTATATATATGATGAATGTTAATATACATTATTTTTCCCATTTTTTTCAAGACTTACTGAAAAAAAATTACAACTCAATTTTGCTAGAACAATAATTGTGCCTCAAAATGCTGTCAATGACCACGTTTAAGACCAGGGATGGCATGTACCATGTCTGTGCTGCTACTTAAGAAATCAAGTATACATGATTGAAACACACTGAATTTACTTTCTAAAATAGTATTGGAGTATAGTTGAAATACATGAAATGTATTAAATTTAAATAAAGAAATTAATGATTAATAAAGGCTTCCCAGGTGGCACAGTGGTAAAAAATCTGCCAAACAACAGGAAGAGCAGGATCAGAAAGATCCCCTGGAGAAGGAGATGGCACTCCACTCCAGTATTCTTGCCTAGAAAATTCCATGGACAGAGAAATCTGACAGGCTACAGCCCACAGGATAGCAAAGAGTTGGACAGGACTGAGTGAGCACACCACACTACTAATTTCATCTACTTCACATAATAAGTGGTAGTTTGACTTTCTGCCCTTCAGTTTTGCTGTAATTTAGGATGTATAACAGTAGTGAACATGTGAAAATAGGCACCTTTTTAGAAACTCATGGGATCGTAGTCAACAGCCCAGACTCTAGGGTAAGATCACCTGGGTTCAGGTCTCAGCTCTGCCGCTTATTAACTCTGTGTCCTTGGAGAAGTTTCTTAACCTCTCTGGTGCCTCATGTGTCTCATCAGTAAAATGGAGATAATATTTAGTATTTAGATAGTATTTAGATAGTATTTAGTATTTAGATAGTATTTAGCTCACACAGAGATGCTATGAGAATTTAAGTTAGCACAATGGCTGGCACAGAATGAAATACATTATTTTAAATAACACACAAAGTAAATTTTTTTTAAGTATTTTTCTTGCTTCTTTGTCTCATTAGTACAATCAATAAGCCATGAATTAACAGACACTCTTGTAGTAATGAAGAGGGGATGGGAAATGAACAAAAGCTGAAAGATTACAAAAACAATCTCTGCTACTAAAATCATTCCGGGAAAGGGTATTTTATGCCTCTTATTCTTTAGCACCTAACAAGTTAAAACAGTTTTTGTTTGCAATTTCTCATATCAGTAGAACCGAGGTTTTAATTTAAACCATGTTTGATGTCACTTTTTAATAGACTATAAATTTGAGACTCACAAATTGCCCCAGAAAGGGGATTGATTCCTCTTCTCAGAAATAAGAGATTGTAATAGACAACGTTATTTTTATAGTTCTCTAATTAGATATGCATATAAATTGGATATTTTATTTAGAGATAGGAAAGAAATTCATATTCTTGAATCTCAAGTCCACAATAGCATTATCCAAACACACTCATTCCTGTGACTGACAGGGGAAACCAAGCCAGGCTAGAGCAGATATTTGATATGATCCCTTGTGATTCTGATACTTAAAAATCTTCAATAGATATTCTTCACATTTGGCAGAGAGATGTTTGAATTTCTAAATGACTGTGTGTCCATTATCATCTTTGAACAGACTCCAGTTCATAAATTTCCCGATAACCCATTTTTTTTCCACTGACAAATTTGATCCCATTGCATTTTGTTCATACTTTTACTCAACAGGTTCTTGGATGAAGTACAGTCCTATTCAGGAATTAACAAAATGAGTGTGCAGAACTTGGCCACTGTCTTTGGCCCTAATATCCTACGTCCCAAAGTGGAAGATCCCTTGACCATTATGGAGGGTAAGTGAATTACTATCATATATCGTCACCAGATGAACAGTCAGTTGTCTCTTGATTGTCCTGAACCTATTCTCCTGTGAGGAAACAAAGGAAATAAATGAGTCCATGGTAATTCCATTTATGGACTCAAGTTCTTCAAATGTAAAATCTTCTGTTTGAGAGCCAGGCATTTTTTGAGGAGTTTACTAAACATAAGTTACTAAACATTTCCTCCATATTTTCATAAGAATTAACAGAACTTGCATAAATCATCTGTAAAATATCACACAAGAACTGGAAATGGCTACTTCACTTTCTGAGTTGGATGCAATTTTCTGAAACCTCAAATAGTTATGCTTCTAAGTTAATATATTTTTATTAGTTCCGGTTTTGTTGGACTGACTTCAAGAGGCAGAAAACATGGGCCTCTAAGATAACGCTGCTTATTTACTTTGGGTTGAAACATGAAGAATTTCTTGTTTTCCATATTACAAGATATCTCAAATTATTTATCACAATGAAAGGTTACTTCTATTTATTTTCAGCAGGTCTCCGTGCTAGAGTACCATTCTTTCTTGTGGACATTATTAGTAGCACTGATGTGCAGGTCTTGGCGAGCTTTGAGAGTAAGACTAGAGGATGGGAAACTCAAGTAAGCAGCATAAAAGAGAAAACTAGACACAGATATTATTCCAAGATCTGGAGAGGATATCCCTTAAGTCTTTACCTAAAAATTGATTTATGCTTGCAGGAAGGGACTCTGTGCTACTTTACGGGGAAGAGTGCCAGAGATCAGTAGTCTGAGGCATTCCTGGGCCTCACACCAAGCTTGAAATAACTGTATTTCCCACAACCAGAGTAGAAAATCCTGACATCGAGGCATTGCATAGAGTCCTCAGGAGGGTCTTACCTTGGTGATAATGTTAAAAGTTATGGACCAAGTTCTACAAAGCTTTTAAAAGAAATCCTAATGATTCAATAGAGGTTTGAGGAAGAAAAGAAGGAGGAATAGTTGGGGCACAAAGGATTTTCAGGGCCATAAAACTATTCCATGTGATACTGCAATAGTGGATATATGACGCTGTGCATGTGTCAAAACCCAGATCACACAGAGAGTGATTTTAATATAAACTATGCATACATGCATGCTAAGTCGCTTCAGTTGTGTCTGACTCTTTGCAACCCTATGGACTGCAGCCTGCCAGGCTCCTCTGTCCAGGGGATTCTCCAGGCAAGAATACTGGAGTGGGTTGCCATGCCTTCCTCCAGGGGATCTTCCTGACCCAGGGATCAAACCTGCATCTTGTACAGCTCCTGTATTGTAGGCAGATTCTTTACTGCTGAACCACCAGGGAAGCCCAGTATAAACTATAGACCTTAGTTAATAATCATAATATATCAATTTTGGTTCATCAATGGAAACTAAAACTGGGCTTCCCTCAGATGGCAAAGGATCTGCCAGCAATGCAAGAGACCTGGGTTTGATCCCTGGGTCAGGAAGATCCCCTGGAGAAGGGAATGGCTACCCACTCCAGTATTTTTGCCTGGAGAATTCCATGGTGGGCTACAGTCGATGGAGTCCCAAAGAGTCAGACACAACTGAGCGACTAAGGCACACTCAACAATAAAAAGGATGAACTACTGATACATGAATAACAATATGGGAAAATGACAAAAGCATTATGCCAAGTGATAATGCCTAGACACAAAAGACCTCATACTCTATAATTGTGTTTATATGAAATTCTAGAAAAGAAGAAAAGTATAGTGACAGAAAGCAGATCAGTGGTTGCCATGGGTAGGGGATTGGCTACAAAAGGACACAAGGGAATTATCTATAAAATGGTTAGGTAGTGTTTCCAGGACTGTCGTTTGTCAAAATTTATCATATACCTCACAGATATCTTGTAGGTATACTGAAGGATACAAAGTAATTCATTGCAAAAAATACAAATTGAAACTATATTTTATAGAATGCTCTGTGTGTGTGTGTGTGTGTGTGTGTGTGTATTTGTTTAGTCATTCAGTCGTGTCCGACTCTTTGTGACCACATGGACTATAAATGGTCAGGCTCCTCTATCCATGGGATTCTCCAGGCAAGAATGCTGGAGTGGATTGCCATGCCCTTCTCTGGGGGATCTTCCCAACCCAGGGATCAAACCCAGGTCTCCCGCATATATATTAAAGTGCCTAGTTACCTTCAAAGGAAAACTGAATTCTTTTCCAGTTATTATGAAGATACAAGTGCTCATAATATGGTATTTAAATTCAACCTATATAAAATTATATGAGCCTGGGGGAATTGTTGAAACATGCAGTCCAGTGGGACTCCCAAATCTTCATGGATTCTTCAGCTTGGCCTGGTAATCATAACCACTCTGGACTCACTATTTGGGCTTCATGTTTGTTATTAGCATTCTAAGGAAGAGAATGACAGAGAGAAGGGAAATAAAAGGAAAAAAGAAACACAGTGCATATAATGGCACACACATCATCATTACTACCAGGCTAGTCTGTCCTAAATGGCTATAAAAATTGACAAGAAGTCCCTTTACAAGAAATGATTGTCATTTACTATTCTGGAAGCTAGATGAAAGCAAAGCCTCCCAAAGTAAAAGCAAGACATTTCTAAATCTCTAGGGCTCTGACACTATAATTGTGGCAGTATACACTGGCATGGGTTTCCCAGGTGGCACTACTGGTAAAGAACCTGCTTGCCACTGCAGGAGACATAAGAGACACAGGTTCCATCCCTCAGTTGAGAAGATCCCCTGGAAGAGGGTATGGCAACCCACTCCAGTATTCTTGCCTGGAGAATTCCATGGATAGAGGAGGCTGATGGGTCACAAAGAGTTGGACATGACTGAAGCGACTTATCATGGACACACACACATCCATTGGCATGGCTGTTCACATACTCATCATGGAGACCTTGGGAATGTCTGTCTTCAATTAATTAAATCCCCATACAATTTACAACTATGATTAACAGTGCAGTGATATTTCAAATCTTAATATTCCTGTGATGGGGAAAAGCTTTATTTTCCCAAAGGACTAGACAGAGTCATATATAACAGAAGCTGCTAACATTTGAAAGTATGTCTGTCAGATGGGCAAACAGCACATGAAGTACTCATGTCTTCAAACACAGTACATGAAGGTGTCAGCACTGACAGTCATTTTAAAGATGCTGAAATCTTTCCTTCAGATTCACTGCTACATGCATTGAAAATAGGATGACACATTCAGAGTTTACTAAAAGAGAAAAGATACATATATAATACCATTAATTTCATTCAGTCTTTTTTCTTACACAATTCCATCATAGTTGATGATGATTCAGTAGATAGTTGTCTTTTATTTAGTTTCTTATTTAGAACAACACCAAGTTGACTTATTATTACTACAGTTTTAACTCCAACAGATGAAATACAGTAAGACAAATACATGATTTGGAATGAGAAGATGAAGTATCACATTTCACTCTAGTCTCTTATCATTTGTGTGGCCTTGGGCAAAATCATCACCACTCCGAACCTCAATTTTCTCATTTGAAAAACATTAAGTCTTATCTCAGAGCCTTGCACGTATGCTAAGTCACTTCAGTCATGTCTGACTCTTTACAAACCTATGGACTGTGGCCTGCCAGGCTCCTCTGTCCATGGGATTCTCCAGGCAGGAATGCTGGAGTGGACTGCCATGCCTTCCTCCAGGGGATCTTCCCAACCCAGGGGTCAAACCCACATCTCTTATGTCTCTGCAGTGAGAGCAGTTTCTTTATGACTAGTGCCACCTAGGAAGCCATCTCAAAGCCTTATGAGAATATTTATTTAGAAGATGTTTAAATGAAACATTTCCACCTAACTCTAACACACATTGAGGAAACATTTCCTCAAACTCTAACACACACAAGAACCACCTAGGGATATTGCTGACATGCAAATTCTGATTCAGAAGGTCTATATGTGGGCCACTAGACAATACCAGGGCTAGAAATCTGTTATCACTGTTGTCTTATCATCTAGGGGTTGGTTAGAAATGTAAAATCTCATGCCCTACTCAATATCTACATTTCAACAGAATCTCCAGATAATTTGTATGAACATTTATTTCTGAGCAGCACTGGCCAGCATCAGACCTGACACATTGCTGATTCCTGATCTAAATATATTAGAAGTTTTGAATCATGACAGAAGTGTGCAGGATATAGATGGATATAACATTTCTTCCTATTCAGAATTTGAGTTAGGCCAGTAAGTCTCCCATTCTTTACCAAGGGGCCCCATGTGCTTGTTGGGGCAGACTTTTGACACTCAGCCAGGCAGTTGACAACTTTGCTTTAGCATTCTGGTCCTGCTTGTGCAGAGCTCCAAGATCAGCTGGAGATGAGACCTTGGGGACTTCTCAGTTCTTTCCTGAGTGTGCACACAGCCCTAGGTATACACAGAACCCTATGCATACATGTATATAATCTTAGAAATCTTCAAGTATATAGCAGAGCTTTTCAACACCTCCTATGGAAATCTCTTCAGATTTTCCTTCTAAGCTTTTTGTTTAGCCTGTTGTTTTGTCTTCAACAGTTATGCACTTGCTTCAGGCAAACATGATTTTAAATGAAAAAGCCCCTAATTGATTTTGACAAATGCCCCTGAGAAATGTCGCTCATTCTAGTCAATTCCTTAGTCAGATAAAACGAAGACAAGCCTCTTGAGTGGGGTCTTCCAGGGAACCACCAAACAAGTCAAATGACCATTCTTTGGGAAGGGGGCTTTGAAGGAGTTCCAAACCAGCTCTTTCCATTCCAGTGGCTGCCTCACTTCTGGTTCCCCCTAAGATTGAGGGTTGTTGGTTTTCAAAGCTACTGCAGAAAGGAGGATGGGAATAAGGTGAGTTAAAACACCACAGAGCTTGCTGTTCTTTACCAAGTCAACGAGTTCTAAAAAAATTAACACTCTCCAGATTATAGCAAGCCTTTCGTTAATTTCCAAATTTCTGAATATATTGACTGGGAACATTTTTGTCAGTTATTGTATGGAAGAGAGGATTCTCATATGTCTTTATTACACCATTTTGGCTAATGTCACTTAAAATGCCCTGAAACTTTTGAATGCTGGGCAAGAGTTGTATGAAACTTCATTGACTTGCTATATTATGAAGACAGACCACATATCCACTAGAGATTGTAGAAGGTTCCACTTCAAGGTGCCATTAAAATGTCTTGATATTTTGAGGCAATTAGATGAGAGATCATAGTGACTTCTTTTAAGAAAGATTTTTCAGAATTAAATGTCAAACTTACAAGAAATGGTGTGTGCCAATTAAGAGCCTGTTCTTTGGAACTAGTTAATTCTGGTTTTAAACTCTTCTTTTTCTCCTTCATAGCTTGGGACATTGGTCAAGTTACTTAACCTTTATTAGATAGTGATAATAACAGTTCTATTTATAAATTTTAAAAAGATCCAACTAAACTAACAAAAGTATAGTGCCTAGTACAGTTCATGTTAAATATTCAAGAAGTTTTTAGACACAATTGCTATTGTCCCCCTAACCTGGAGAAGGAAATGGCAACCCACTCCAGCATTCTTGCCTGGAAAATCCATGGACAGAGGAGACTGGTGGACTATAGTCCATGGGGTCACAAAAGAGTTGGACACTACTTAGTGACCAAACAACAATAATTGCTATTGTCATCATTAAAAACATAGTTTGGCACTGCTAATAATAATGCTGAATGTGCACCTAAATATGGCTCTTTAAAAGTCACTTTCAAAATAGAAGATAAATCAAAACTGCTTTGCTCATACTCCTTTGCTTTCTTTGCAATTCCAGGCACTGTGGTGGTCCAACAACTGATGTCAGTAATGATTGGCAAACATGATCGCCTCTTCCCCAAAGATGCAGAGCTGCAAAGCAAGCCCCAGGATGGAGTGAGCAACAACAACAATGACCTTCAGAAGAAAGCCCTCATGGGGCAGCTACAGAACAAGGAGAACAATAATACCAAGGACAGTCCCGTAAGGCGGTGCTCTTGGGACAAGCCTGAGTCTCCCCAAAGAAGCAGCATGGATAATGGATCCCCCACAGCTCTGCCAGGCAGCAAAACCAACAGCCCCAGGAATAGCATCCACAAGCTGGATGTCTCCAGAAGCCCCCCTCTCATGGTCAAAAAGAATCCCGCCTTCAACAAGGGCAGTGGGATTGTCACCAACGGGTCCTTCAGCAGTAGTAATGCTGAAGCACTCGAGAAAGCCCAGACCACTCCCAATGGGAGCTTACAGGCCAGAAGGACCTCTTCCCTGAAGGGGTCTGGTACCAAAATGGGCACCCACAGCGTGCAGAACGGAACCGTGCGCATGGGCATCGTGAACTCTGACACCCTGGGGAACGCCGGGAATGGCCGCAGCATGAGCTGGCTGCCCAATGGCTACGTGACCCTGAGGGAGAATAAGCAGAAAGAGCAAGCCGGAGAGTCGGGCCAGCACCACAGGCTCTCCACCTACGATAACGTCCACCAGCAGTTCTCCGCCATGAGCCTCGACGACAAGCAGAGCGTCGACAGCGCCACCTGGTCCACTTCCTCCTGCGAGATCTCCTTGCCCGAGAACTCCACCTCCTGCCGCTCCTCCACCACCACCTGCCCGGAGCAAGACTTTTACGGTGGGAACTTTGAGGACCCCGTGTTGGATGGGCCCCCGCAGGACGACCTCTCCCATCCCGGGGACTATGAAAACAAAAGCGACCGGAGGAGTGTGGGCGGCCGCAGCAGTCGGGCCACCAGCAGCAGCGACAACAGTGAGACCTTCGTTAGCAACACCACCAGCAACCACAGCGCCCTGCATAGCTTAGTGTCCAGCCTCAAACAGGAAATGACCAAACAGAAGATAGAGTATGAGTCCAGGATAAAGAGGTGAGGAAAACCTGGAGCCCCTAGTGGCCAGAGAGGGTGCGACAGCCTCCTGTGAGACAGGCTCACCCCGAAGGGTTAAACCGGCTAACTCCAGTCAGAGACCTGGGTTCAGGCCCTACCTTCGCCATTTGTAAGCTGTGGGACACTGGGAAAGCTCCCTTCCTCTCTGTGAGTCTCAGCTTCCCAATGTGAAAATTTTTAAGTTCTAGTAGTAAATTCTGCCTCAAGGTGAAAATTGCTCAGATGTGTCCAACTCTTTGTGACCCCATGGACTGTATGTAGCCTGCCAGGCTCCTCTGTTCATGGGGATTCTCCAGGCAAGAATACTGGAGTGGGTTGCCATTTACTTCTCCAGGGGATCTTCCCAACCCAGGGATCCAACCTGGGTCTCCTGCGTTGCAGACAGATTCTTCACCAACCTCAAAAGCATGTTAAGAAATCATTACACATTGTCCCCAGGACAGAGCAGATGCTCAGTAATTCTACCTCTTGTTATTAGTAAAAGCATTGATTTAGGTTCAAAAGCTGGGGAAAGGAGTGGGAAGGGATGTCTGGAGTACCAGGAGTCTGTTATCACAGGAAGAGGATGAAATGAGAGTAAAGAAAAATTGAAAAATAAACAAATATTTGTTGTTCATTATTTCCATGGTTGGATGCTTGGGTTGAATGCTTGTCTGCTGTCTCCCAGGCTCAGACCAGGCCACAAGGATTCAGCAGTGAGTAAAGAAGACAAAAATTCAGCCCTTGTGGAACAGGCTTACAGTCCCCTGGAAGAGATAAATAAATAAGTAAACTGATCCTATGCTAAGTAGAAGACTGGAGCAGGGAAGAGGGGTGAGAGTGTTGCTGAGGGTTATTCTAAGTGTAGGGCTCTATAGGAGACAGTGATGCAGAGACCCAGCAGAAGTGGAAATGCCCTGAGGCTGGATGGGCAGGGAGCTCAGAGAGGTACCATAGAACCTTCGAGATCATCTTAATCTTTGGCTTGTACTCTGAGATTGGAATCCAGGCAAGTTTGTGAGAAAAGTGATAGCATGAAGTATATTCGTATAGACAAGGAAACTTTTAGCCTAAATGAGGAGCAAAAAATATGACTTATAAGCAAACCATTGTGCTGAAACCTAAGTGATACCAGTTGACATCTTCTCATAAAATATCCAAGAGAGGAGTTGGCTTAGTAACTTCAAGGAGGTAACCTGGCAAATATAATGGGTATAGGCTGAGGATCCTGCCTTGACAATGCCCCTGTCAGATGCTCCAAGGTCTTGAGAGGCAGCAATACAGAAAATGGAGCTGCTGCCCCACAAGTACAGCCTTGTGCTGGAAACCTGAATATCACCACACTCTGCAATTTCACCAGGGTTACAGAAATGACTAAACTGATTGTTTTTCTGTTCACCTTTCAGTGTGGTATAGGGGAAGGACCCTGCACTCTTAAGAGCAGGTCTGAGGCTCAGTTCAGCCTGAAGTAGCCCCTCTAGGGGCCTCAGCCCCAGTCCCAGGCTGTGCCTTGGGACTGTTCTAGAATTCCTGTTCTAAGACCCTCATGGTATGTGAACGTCTTTGTCCTGTTCAGCTGCTTCCATGGCCCTTAACCCCACATGGTTCTTTTCTTTATATATAAAGTTGACCTTCATGTATTTTAATGTTTCCCATCCATTTATCAATTATCAAGCCAAAAGATACATATTTTTAAGAGGTATAGAAAAATAAATAAAAATACCTACATGTTAGATTGAAAAATTACTTTATTGGAAACAGAAGCTTGGTTTGAATTTTTCTAAATAATGCCAAGTGACAGGAGACTTAAATAAGAAGAAAAAATAAAGTTATAATCTTATAAGGCTACTTTTTCTTTTGAATGTAGTTTATGGAACCAATGGCTACCAAATTCTGAATTGCTGCCAATGCATGATGGTAAATTAGCACTTAGCAGTGGAAAGCAAGAGATGACACTTGAAACCTCCATTAAGATAGAACATGCGTTATTCTGAACAGTTGCAAATGTACACATTCATTTATAACATTGATGTTACTTTATTTTCTGAGTCTATGGTACATTTCAGAGACTTTGATAAAATAAAAGAACCTTTCAACAGAATGTCATCTCATTGGCCTCTTTCATTGGCATTTTTACCCACTTGACAAGCAAGGAAAGAGGTTCATTATAAAACGGGTAGTGGAACTGCCATATGACCAAGCCAAGCAGTATAAGAAGTAATTGTCCTAGATAATTATTGATCATTACTGTTTAAAATTATATATTTCTTTTTCAATTCTTTTTTAACTCTACAAGTATTGAGGCTAGATAGATAGATGATAGATATATATGTACATTTATACATATATCCCTAGATAGACAGAGCATGGAGAAATAAATAGATATTACTTTATTTATCAATCATTGATATATGTGATTTTTAGTTTTTAAACAGGTAAGTTTAATGCTCTTCCCTCCCTCAAATTAGTTTCTACCTTTATCATACTGTAGTCAGATAAATTTATTTACATGATGTCAGTTATTTGGTCTGGTAAGAAGTATTATCTTATTATTGGTTTGAGATTTATATATGATCAATAGATCAAATCTGTTAATCAGGCTGTTCAAATATTTTGCATTTCTCCTAACTTTTATTAGATCTATAATTTCTAAAAGTGTTATCTTAAAATTTCCTAATTTTTGTGGATTTATCTATTTATATTTATAATTTTGTTATATTCTATATTGAGTAACTTGAGGCTATATAACTAGATGAATAAAAGTTCAGAATTGTCTATATCTCCCTAATTAATTGATCCTTTTATCACAAAATAGTGGTAATAATGCTTTTTGCCCACAAATAGTTTTCTGATATTAACATTCCTATATAATTTCTATTTTGATTAGTAACTCCTTGCTATATATTTTCCATCATTTCAAGTTTTGTGTTTCATTATTTGAAGACATAATTTTTCAGTTTACATTTATCCACCTCCTCTTTTGCTTATTTCATCTCCCCCATTTTCTCAATTTTCTCTCTATAACCCTTACTACAGTGTGTTGAACCTTCTTAGTTCATCCTCCCTCTCCATCTTTGTTAATTTCTCTTTCTTATATTAAATTTTCATCTTTTTTCATTCCATGAGGCATTTGGGTAGTTTTTCTCAAAGCTGTTTTCTCATTTATTTATTTCCTCTTCTGATTCAACTCTGTCACTTCACTCAGCCCACAGGTAGAGTTTTTGTAGTCTCTTTGCCACAAAGACGACTGATGTTCCAAGCTCTCGAGTCACTTTCAGCCTTCTGTCTCTCTCATACTAGAGATCTCCTCTTCCCCATGTGATAAGTAAAAACCTAGTCACAGCTTCTACGGCTTCTATCTGAGACAAATACCCATCCTGTGCTTTCACTTGCTGTTCTAAATTTCTTTCTTCCTTGGTTCTGATACCTGAAGATTCTCTTTTATTTTTTTAACTTTGTAGCTTAAACATATTTTCCTAACATATTTTTGAAACGTTAGTCTGTGCTTGCAATGGGAGGGGTTTCTTCTGTTTTTAACTTAGCCATCAGATTCCAGGAAGTTTCATACAGGTGCCTGATATGTACAAATGCATTAGTATATTTTTAAAGGATAGTCTTCCTTGGTATTAAAGGTTGAGTTTCTTCCAACTATTTTAGTTCTAAAACAAATAGCTTTACAAAGCAGAGAGAATATATTGGGAAATAGTTCTGGGTGAGAAACAGCACACTACCAGGTTTTTATGTAAAACATGTGATCATGTGATCAAAATGGCCTTCTAAACTAATTAAAGAATGTGATTTTTTTTTTAAATCTTAGTTGCTTACTAAGGGAGAGCAGATTCATCTTTAAGTGTTTTTATGATTATCTGGATGAAATAACATATGGGACTCATTATTTCAGAGCAGAAAAATAGTTGAGATTTTAATTTGAAGATTATTAGAATAATCAGATTTTTGAGTGCTAACTGTGCATCAGCCTCTCACATTTCAGTAGCATTGCAAATTCAAGCATACCCTTGCCACTTCCACTCGTAATAGGAGAAATTAAGATGCCAGCTATTACCACGACACATCATCTAATAAAGAAGTGCTTAATGTTCTTCCTTGAACAGCGGCAGTAATAAATTGTGTTTTGGAACTTAGTGATTGTGAAGAAAACTCTAATTTTTAGGAAATTATCTAAAATTATATAGCCATCTAAAAGAATACAGCTATCAATTTATAAAATGCAGCAAGTCCCCTACATGCTGCTGCTGCTGCTGCTTAATCGCTTCAGTCATGTCCAACTCTTGTTCGACCCTATGGACTGTAGCCCGCCGGGCTCCTCTGTCCATGGGATTCTCCAGGCAAGAATACTGGAGTGGGATGCCATTTACTTCTCCAGGGGACCTTCCCAACACAGGGATTGCACCTGGGTCTCCGGCATTGCAGGCAGATTCTTTATCTCTGAGCCACCAGGGAAGCCCAAGTCCCCTACATAGGAAACTTCCAGTTGTAAACTTTAAAAGATGCAGACGTGCATCCCATTCATGTCAGGTGTGAGTAAAACTGCAGCTTGCCCTTTGTCTCCTGTTGCTGGTGACCCTTCAGCCCTACCATCTTCTACCTCCTCTCCCTCCGCCAGTCAATAATTCTTCTTGCCTGTTTACTTGATACCAGACAGCTGTTGACTGTATTACTGTACTTTTCAAGGTACTATACTGTAAGATTAAAAATGTTTTCTTTTTTGTATTTTTAATATATTATTTCTGTGAAAAGTATGATAAACCAATTATAGTACAGTGCTATATACCCAATTGTGTTAGTTGGCTACCTCGGCTAACTTTGTTTCTTGGACTTACAAGCAAATTGGATTTACAAATGTGCTCTTGGAACAGAACTCATTTTTATGTAGGGAACTTACTGTATAGTGATCTTAAGATATGTTAACTTGGAAGACTGAATTGCAGCTAGCAGGCTACAAAAGTGGACTGTGTTGTCACAAAATGTCAGGTGAATTACTTATTCAACACATGTAAGTTCTACTTCTCCTATTAATGTAAGGTGGCTACTTTTGGTACCAATTTTATAAGAGGGATGCTATATAGTCCCTTCTAAATCCATTCTTAGCAGTGGGCTTACTCTCTCTAGCAGTGACATTTTCACTGTCATTCTTATTCCTTTGGTAGAGAGCAAATATGATGGCCCTCTTTTCTTTCCAACTTGATCAGACTTTCCTCTTTCTTTTAGTGAGGACAAATTTACATTTAATGATTCAGGAAGCTTTGTAGTTAGGGCTGCCTCCTGCTTCTGCCAAATTCTGTGCTGCATGATGACCCTGGTCTCTGGCTTCTTTGTGCTGAAATTCACTCATTCACTATTAAATGACAATGAAGTACTTCCAAGAGAGGTCTTGGGGTCTTGCAGAAATGATAGTAAATCATGTCACGAACTAGTAAAAAAAAAAGAAAATATATGTATGTATGTATGTATGTATGTATGTATCAATCAGTGGACCTTGATTCACTGATTTGAAAGGGCTCATTCCAGCTTCCAAAGCATTTCAGAGACAGAGTTTAGGAAATACTTTTTAATCTTTTTTGCATTTCAAAAAATAAAATTACTTTATCTCTTATTCCTTCCCCCACCCTGTGCAGCTTAGAACAGCGAAACTTGACTTTGGAAACAGAAATGATGAGCCTCCACGATGAACTGGATCAAGAAAGGAAAAAGTTCACAATGATAGAAATCAAAATGCGAAATGCTGAACGGGCAAAAGAAGATGCAGAGAAAAGAAATGACATGCTTCAGAAAGAGATGGAGCAGTTTTTTTCCACGTTTGGGGAGCTGACAGTGGAACCCAGGAGAACCGAGAGAGGAAACACGATATGGATCCAGTGAGGGGACTCTCCCCCGCTGTCTCGAGTGGCCCTGGGAAGGACTCTGGGGATTCTGGTGGGAAGATTATATGGGACCAGGTGGCTGGTCACCTGGATGTACAGAGCTCTAGCTGGGGAAGGCATATCATTTATAGACATTACCCACCCATATCTGCAATGTGTACCAAAGTTGTATCATGTCCCATAATGCTACTGTTAAGTGTTACAACTGGATATGTGTATATAGAGTAGTTTTTAAAAAGTAAACTAAAAACAAGAAGCATATCTCAAGAATTATTTTATTGCCAGTCTTGTATTTAAAATGTTAAATCAGTATGTCATTGCAATTTAGCTTGCTTTCAAGCTTCACCCCTTGCACTTAACATAAGCTATTTTTGGCATTGTGTTATCATCAGCTTATTTTATAGATCAATATTTTTATTTCCCCTTTTGCTGAGGAAATGAAGATAAGCAGATATATAAATATATAAAATATATGAGATGAGTTATTAAAATCGAAAGAATACTTTGTGGCCGTGCTGTTTGTGCCAATAGACCTTGCCGTGACCAAAAAGAGAAATGTCAATAATTTTATAAAATACAATGGAATCCCCAGGAAACTTTGAATCACTCTATGAATTCTGCCCTTGATACTGCTCAGTTTTCTTGGGGAGATGGTTTGACATAAGAAATTTTAGATTATGTAAAAAAGTCTCCTTCTCAAGTCCCCTGGTCTGTCTTGCCCATGCCATAGATGCATGTCTCCTATGCAGGATGCACTTTAGAGAGGGAAAACATCATTTTTAAAAAAGAGCATTTAAGTAGTCATGCTTTGCATTACTCTTTCTGCTGGATGATTATGAGAGAAAATTCTTCCTGCCATTGGGAATTTGAGAAACATTGTTTGCTAATTATGGTGTCCATGTTGAGCACCTGTCCTCAACTCCACCCCCACCCCCATACCAACCTCCCCCTGCCCTGAACTGCCCTTTGGAAATGCAAACAGTGAAATAGTATTACCCTATCTCTCTCAGTTAAACTGCTGGAGTGCGTGCCTTATATTCTTCTTTTGCTCAGGCTGACTGTTCTGTTGTCATCTAGGATCCTTTCTGAACAACAGCTAGCAAAGGTAGTTTGAAGCCAGAGGGAGGTGATGGAGGGAAAAGGGACCAGAAGAAGGAGGAGACAGGTTGGAAGAAGCTATCTGGCTTCTAATTTGTTTTTTTACAATCTTGTCCTTCCCTATTAAAACATATTTGTTCACAATAATTTTGAAATGTGAATCTTTAAAAGTCTAATGTTGATAAATTTGTGAACATTACTAATTATAACTTTCCAGACTCTCTAGAACTCTCTGGAGCTGGAGATTGGAGAGAACAATTCCTAACAATTTAATAAGGCAATGATTTTGAGAAGCAAAGCAAATAAAACTTTCTCAGACTAGAACAGAGTCACAAAAGGCATAATTAGAAATAAATACTACTTGAGTTTATGGGATTTGCATTGTTTGGAGGTTCTCTGTTTGTGTGTATTTATTTTCAAGGGGACAGTAAACTTGACAACCTCTGTTCTTGTCACTGTGCTGCCTTTGTTTATATACTTACACTCAGCAAGCTTTTGTGGTCCTTTGGTATCAACCACCGTCTCTGTAGCAATACTTCCTTTATCTGTAGTTCCCTGTTCTCTTTTCAATTCTTTAGCAAGATACTCCTACCTGGATATCCTATAAAAAATTCAAATGCAAAATGTGCAAAAATGATCTCTTACCTTTTCATCTTTTCCCAGGTCCCTGCCTTAGTTAACAAAAACCACAGACTCTTACAGGAAGCTATATTATACAAGAGTAAAAATCAAAGACTATGCAAACAGCCCGTGTTCAAATTTTTTCCAATTTTCCAGTGATACTAAATCTGTGCATCTCTTTTTTCCATCTGTAGAATGGGTGGGCATAATAAAAATACTGCTCTCATAGACTAATGTGGTTTCAGCAAGGTAGCTTATATCAGGCTGAGCACAGTACCTAGTATACAGGAAGGACTTCATCAATGTTAACTGGAATTTATCTCTACTATACCCTCTCTTCATGCTTACATTCACTCACCAAGTACTGTCTAGTCCACCCATCCTCGCCTTTTTCATCTGCTCTCTTTGATTAATTTCTGCCCATCTCTTGATGAAAACATCTAACCCAGTCCCTTGTGTTCTGGTATTACATTTGCAGACTGCTCTTCCTAAGTCATCCTTCTCACCATTGTAGCCTTTTTAATAACAGTCAAATGCCCCTCGCAGAGTATGTATGACTCTAACCTGCAGTTTCATTCTCAGATCCTGCCACTTCCCCCCATACCTGCAATGCTATCTCATGCACCTGGAACTTTCCACCTTCTTTTTCTTTAAGATTCTTTTTTTTATGGACCATTTTTAAAGCCTTTATTGAGGTTTTACAATATTGTTTCTGTTTTTGTTTTGGTTTTTTGGCCATAAGGCAGATGGGATCTTAGACTCCTCACCAAGGCTCGAACCTGCTCCCCCTGCATTGAAAGGCAAAGTCTTAACACTGGACCACCCACAAAGTCCCTCCACCTTCTATCATTGTGCCCATCGTGACTGCCACCCTTCTATATCTGGCACACATCAACCATGTGTTTTTTCGTTTTTGTTTTTTTGTGGGTTTTTTTTTTTTTTTTTTTGCCAAATCAAATGTCAGTTCAGTTCAGTTCAGTCTCTCAGTTGTGTCCCACCCTTTGTGACCCCATGGACTGCAGCACACCAAGCCTCCTTGTCCATCACCAACTCCCGGTGTTTACTCAAATTCATGTCTACTGAGTTGGTGATGCCATCCAACCATCTCATCCTCTGTCATCCTCTTCTCTTCCTGTCTTCAAACTTTCCCAGCATCAGGATCTTTTCAAATGAGTCAGTTCGTCAGATCAGGTAGCCAAAGTATTGGAGTTTCAGCTGCAGCATCCATCCTTCTAATGAATATTCAGGACTGATTTCCTTTCTGATGGACTGGTTTGATCTTCTTGCAGTCCAAGGGATTCTCAGGAGTCTTCTCCAACACCACAGTTCAAAAGAATCAGTTCTTTGGCACTCATCTCTCTTTATGGTCTAACTCAAACATCCGTATATGACATAGCCTTGACTAGACAGACCTTTGTTGACAAAGTAATGTCTCTGCTTTTTAATATGCTATCTAGGTTGGTCATAACTTTTCTTCCAAGGAGTAATTGTCTTTTAATTTCATGGCTGCAGTCACCATCTGCAGTGATTTTGGAACCTCCCAAAATAAAGTCTGCCACTGTTTCCACTGTTTCCCCATCATTTTCCATGAAGTGATGGGACTGGATGCCATGATCTTAGTTTTCTGAATGTTGAGTTTTAAGCCAACTTTTTCACTCTCCCTGTTGACTTTCATCAAGAGGCTCTTTAGTTCTTCTTTGCTTTCTACCATAAGGGTGGTGTCATCTGCATATCTGAGGTTATTGATATTTCTCCTGGCAATCTTGATTCCAGCTTGTGCTTCATCCAGCCCAGCATTTCTCATCAAATGTCAGCTCCCCTCTAAAGCTTCCTAAGATCTCAATGCAGGGTTAGTTATCTTTGCGCTCCCAATTTGTATATATCTCTTTTACCCTTTTCCATCTCTGATTGTTTTCTTCACCAAGTTAAAAAACACTTAAGGAAGCAGCAAAGTGGAATGGTAATTGCAGGAAACTGAGAGCCAAACAAAAGTAAACATTAACAATTAGAACCAAACATGGAACAACGTACTGGTTGGAAATTGGGAAAGGAGTACTTCAAGTCTGTATATTGTTTGTCACCCTGCTTATTTAACTTATATGCAGAGTACATCATGCGAAATGCCGGGCTGAATGAAGCACAAGCTGGAATCAAGATTGCTGGGAGAAATATCACTAACCTCAGATAAGCAGATGACACCACCCTTATGGCAGAAAGCAAAGGGAAACAAAAGAGCCTCTTGATGAAGGTGAAAGAGGAGAATGAAAAAGCTGGATTAAAACTCAATATTCAAAAAATGAAGGTCATGGCATCTGGTCCCATCACTTCATGGCAAATAGATGGGGAAACAATGGAGACTGGGCTGTTTCCTTGGGCTCCAAAATCATTGCAGATGGTGACTGCAGTCATGAAATTAAAAGATGCCTGTTCCTTGGAAGAAAAGTTATGACCAACCTAGATAGCAAATTAAAAAGCAGAGACATTACTTTGCCAAAAAAAGTCCCTCTAGTCAAAGCTATGGTTTTTCCAGTAGTCATGTATGGATGGGAGAGTTGGACCATAAAGAGAGCTGAGCACCAAAGAATTGATGCTTTTGAATGGTGGTGTTGGAGCAGACTCTTGTGAATCCCTTGGACTGCAAGGAGATCCAACAAGTCCATCCTAAAAGAAATCAGTCCTCGATATTCATTGGAGGGACTGATGCCGAAGCTGAAGCTCCAATACTTTGGCCACCTGATGCAAAGAACTAACTCTTTAGAAAAGACCCTGATGCTGGGAAAGGTTGAAATCAGGAGGAGAAGGGGACGGCAGAGGATGAGATGGTTGGATGTCATCACTGACTCTATGAACATGAGTTTGAGCAAGCTCCAGGAGTTGGTGATGAACAAGGAAGCCTGGTGAGCTCCAGTCCATGGGGTTGCAAAGAGGCAGATGTGACTGAGCAACTGAACTGAACTGGACTGACTATGCCTTAGGCAAGATGCAAAATAATGAAAAGTCATTTAACCTTTGAGCCTTAGTTTTTTCATCTATAAAGTGGAGACAATAACTCTCTTACTTTGAGGTGATGTGCCCTGTGCCTACCCAAGTGCCTGCCACATACCTTGATTGATAGCTCTATTGATAAATGGAATTTCTTAAGGCAGCAGAAAGATATCTTATTGATTTTAAGTGCCTCTCCCTCCATCGTCACTGGACTTCCCAGGTGACACAATGGTAAAGAATTCTGCCTGCCAATGCAGAAGATGCAAGAGAAGTAGATTTGATCCCTGGGTTGGGAAGATCCCTTAGAGTAGGAAATGGCAAACCACTCCGGTATTCTTGCCTGGAAAATTTCATGCACAGAGGAGCCTGGTGGGCTACAGTCCATGGGGTCTAGAAGCTCAGTGCAACTGAGCACACACACTCACCACCATTATTATGCCATGGAGTACCAGCATGGAGAGTTAGCAATAAATTTGGTCTTTGCTTTATGAGGGATACTGTTATTAATTTTAATTATAAATCTCTGTGATGACAATCTTCAGTCAATGCATGCCATGAGCAGCTTGTTCATCTGGATTTCTATTGGTTCTTATATTAATTCAGCTGAAAGCCTAGAAAGATATCAATGGCAAATTGACATAAGAATAAACTGGAAATAAACAGGAAGTATTTGCTACATTCTGCAGACACTTCTTTAAAACTCTTTAGACAGCTGTGATGAGTTTTACATTATGAGCTCAGGAAAAAAGATTTGCTTCCAAGTGTTGAGTCTATAGTATTGATTTTACTCATCAAACTATATGGCTGTGTATCCTTTAGTGAACATTTAAAATAGAAATGCCCATGCCATCAAGCTAACTAAAGTGTAGATTTTATATGTAAATTTATCATGAAGTGACTAAAAACTCCACATGGAATTTAAATAATGTCATTTCAATTTATCCACAAGCTGAGGATTCCTTTTACAAAATTAGATCAATGTTAGGTAAGAGAGTTTAAATCTCTTTTTAAAGATAAAATTAATATGATGTTATAAAATTAATATAATTAATACTGCCATAATTTTAATGATATAATTATCTCTCATTGGAAATGCAGGTGTGGATTAAAGACTGGGGTTATTGTTCAGTTGATTTCCTTTAGAACTGTTTGGTTTGATCTACTTGCAGTCCTAGGAACTCTCAAGAGTCTTTTCCAGCACCACAGTTCGAAAGCATCCATTCTTCAGTGCTCAGCCTAGATTGAGGTGGTTGTTTAGTTGTTAAGTAATGTACAACTGTTTCCAACCCATGAACTGTAGCCCACCAGGCTCCTCTGTTCATGGGATTCTCCAGGCAAGAATATTGGGATGGGCTATCATTTCCTTCTCCAGGGCACCTTTTGGACCCAGGGATCAAACCCATGCCTCCTGCACTGGCAGGTGGGTTCTTTACCACTGAGCCACCAGTGAACCCCAAGGAGCCGAACACAAACCCCAGTGTTCCTCACATTGCAGATGTGTGCCTTCTTGGTGTAGCATCCTAGAAGAGAAAATGCATGAACTTTTGCATTCAGAGACCTGGATCATAATCCCAGCTCTGCAGCTTATAAGCTTAAAGGAAGTTGCATCAAGTCTGTAAGCCTGTTTGTTTTTATGTAAAACAGGGATAATAATAGTGTCTTTTCCTTATTGGATATTTTTGAGGCATGAATAAGTGATTAGTACAGTATTTGGCATGTAGTAAGTGTTCTATAAACAGTAGCTGTCAGCCCCCAAATTACTCCAAATTGTTGAAAGGATGCTTCTGGAGCTCATAGCTGGATTCTGGCCTTGGGAAACTGACCAGCAATGAAACACTAGCA